TAGAGAAATACAATGACATAACCTTGAAAAGGGGTATCGCTAATTTGGGAAGGTCCCATCGCTTACCGTGGGGTTTTATTAATTTCCATCAATTTCCATAAACCAATGTCCGTCCAATACATATTTAGTATTGCCCGGGTTTTTGCGGTGGCTCATATATTTCAAGTGTCGCATTCTTAATGGATTGATGGCCGTCCCCCCCAATTACTTGGAACATCTTGGAACAACACAGGGCACTTTTTTTCAGCGTGCCTAGGATGGGTGCTCTGATGGGAAGACAAGTTACCCTCTGGTAAACGTTAACAAAAAGCTATGGAAAATCACAATTTTAATGGGAAAATACACTATAACTGGCCATTTTCAATAGCTACGTTAAATTACCAGAGGGTATCACGGAGTTTCTCAACACATCTGCAGATTTTTTCACCAAAACCAAACATGCAAACTACTTTATTAAAGGCCGTGACCCATGATGAATCTGTCTGAATTCCGAAAAACACAATTGCTTACTTCCGTGTGTATGCTACATGTATCGAATGGCTAACAGGCTATCAGCACATCTGTATTGTCAAAACAAGGACAAGCAGCGCGTGTGGGCATCTCAAAGAAGTCTTCCACCATTACATCTGGATTATTTATACTAAAAAAACATGTGCAAACCTGAAATAAGGTCATTCCACTACTAACTACTAACTAACAGTACATGATTAACCACAACACGAACGCTGGCCTTGCTGGGATAGTTAGCACTACATCCACTACTAACCATCCTTAGAGACACCGTTTTTCGCAGGATCCCGCAGTTTGTTCAGCCCACGGCTTGTTACAATCCCCGAGGCTTGCCGGATCAGTCCCAGGAGTCTGGGGTTGAACCAATCCACCAGAATATGACGATATCTAAACACCCAGATTTTTTGGGTCATTTATGGTGGTTTAATCCTAATTTTCGCCCATTTATAGTGGATTTTCCCAGCGAACGAAACCTCCATTTATGGTTGGGATTTTCCATGGCTATGTTAAATAACCAGAGGGTATAACATTATATAACCATAATTGATTTAATCATGTATTACTATTCCAAGAATATGAAATCCCCATTGCTGGTGGCTGGTGCTGAACTTGTCTCTTTAATTCTGCAAAATATTCCATGTTCCTCCTTCACGCTTTTTGTTGTGTCGCAAGTCCAACTCTACCCCCCCCGTTTGGTTTTTGTTTTTATGGCCTCCCACCTGTCTTAGATCGGGTAGTTGTGCTTTGGTTTATTGCAACTATTGGTATTATTGTTATCATTGTAATGTTATGTTATATACATATATATATATATATACATACATTGTTATGTTGATGTCTATATAGAACTATCATCATTACTCTTTTTTCGTACTATTATTCTCATTCTCGGCTACAAACCACATAAATGTTTCTCTCCCCAAAATCCCATTCCCTGACACACTTACATATACCACATACACACAGCCGTAATCAAACGTGGCTGGCTGGAAAATGCCCGAAGCAAAGGGACGAAGCAAAGGGTCGCTGGGAAAAGAACATCGAGTCGAGCTATGGCGATTTTTTCCGGCCAGCCAAGGAGCTCAGGACAGAGGGTTCATCTCATTTTATTGTTGGCTATCTCCCATTAGCCTCTTGTAAACTAACAGTTAGCTGTTGAACATGGCCCAGTCGAAATAGTTTTTCTTTACCCATTAAAGATGGAGATTTTCCAGTTCGCTATGTTTATTCGTGTACCAGAGGCTTTTTTTCCAATCATTTTTATGGTCATAAATCTACTCCTCTTTTTCAAATCGTCCCACCCCACCTTTTATTTTACTCATCCCAGGGTGGATTTTTGGCGCCCAGGAACATTCACGTTCTCAATGATGATCGCAGAAGCTGCTGAATAGATCAGCGTCTCTGCCTTCAAAAAATAGAAAAACGTAATGGATCGGGTCAGAGGATTCTCCCTTTTTAGCTGGAAAAACCTTGGGAATCAGCGGGAATCATCGAACTACAATCCTTACCCTCTGCTAAACGTTTACATAAAACTATGGAACATCACAATTTTTACTGGGTAAATCAACTATTTCGACTAGGCCATTTTCAAGTTCGCAAACTGTAAACGTTTACCAGAGGGTAGAAACACTGGAAACACGGTTCTATCTTTTTGGGAATGATATCGATGATATGTCAGGTGTGTTTCCTATGCTATTTTCATGGCTATTTTCAAGATAAGGAATAATTTCAATGCTAGTCAGATATAGTAAGATGCTGTAAGTGCACACAAGTGCACTGTTGCTCCGTGATGTGGGGACTTTTTAGGAATCTAAACTGGCCATTACCTGGGTTTACGATGGTTCATCAACCTGTAACCGCTCACTATGCTCAAAAAAAAATGGATATCAATAGTGACTACAAAGTGCAGCCAAACCGTAGCTCTCAGTTGTTTTTTTCTTTTTTTTCGAAACTCCAATTTCACTATACTATATATATATAGTATATAAAGTATATACAGTATGGTTTATGAATGTTTATGATATTTCCTAGTCAGAAAAAATAAACTCGTATTCATGGCCCAAAAACAACCAAGAAACATCTCTTTGAAAGGGCCTCACCAGGTGTCAGACAGCCTCCATGTTTGATGCAGATCTTTTCTAACCTTCACTGAATATCCATGTTGGATACCCGGCCTGGTAAACATACAAAAAACTATCCCATAGAATCCATGTATGGAATATTTACCTACATTGGGATTATTTTAAATTACTTTAGGGGTCAATGTAGGTAAATATTCCATACATGGATCCTCTGGGTATGGAAGCCATGGCCCTAATCGAAATAGATGGTTTAGATGCTTTACCGTTCTAAAAAATGGTGATTTTCAATAGCCATGTTAAATTACCAGAGGGTAGTACTGAGGGTATTTAAAATTAATCATTGGGCTGTTTTCATATCTTGGATATACCATGAGATTGTTGGTTTCTACATGTTTATATACTAGTTTATACAACATCAAACAACATCTTAAAAGCGGCATTGAATCCCATTCTGGTTCGTTCCGAGCTCCCCTATCGCCAAAAAGCTATAAAAACATCAACAGGAATGAATGGACACCGCCATGTTATTTTTTTGTTATGCAATAACTGAATTGCAATTTGATGTTCTTTTCTTATCCAGAGTGATGGCTCTGGACGATAGTTCTACCCTGTTCTACCCCTTTGTCTCTTGGACGACAGTGCTGGTGTGGTCCACCGGACGACACCTCTGTGGGATGGTAGCGAACGGTGTTCAGATGCTTCCCACCATAGCCGATGAAATGTTCTAACTCCACCACCGCGGACTGAGCACACACGACGTTTCGTGAAACGTGGCGTGGTGAATGTGGTGAAACGTGCTGTTGGTTATGGGGGGCAATAAATGGCATCTAAATGGCGTATAAATAGCATATAAATGGCACAAGCCAACTCTCTGTTCATCTCAAAACTGCTGGGAGTTATTTTATATGTGTATCAGGCCTGATGCAACACCCCAAATAATCCAAATACAACGGGGTGTGAACTGGGTGAATAGAGCGATAGAGCGGCAAAATGATCCATGTCCCAAAAGTGGCTACGATTCGCCGTGTGGTGGATACATCCGACTTGTTAGGTGGGAAACAAAACCAACATAACTGAGGGGGTCCGGCTATGGAGGGGTACTTGGTGGCTCATCCCACTTAGTAAGTGGGTTATAACCCCAGTTATAAATGGGATAAGTAGGGTTAATCCACTTATAATTGGGGTTATAACCCACTTACTAAGTGGGATGAGCCACCAAGTATGCAACCAAATCTGTTCGGCTATCCGGCTATCTGTCAAAACCATTCAAAACATTTCAAAACCCATTGGAATCCCCTCTTGAAACCCCGTTCGTAGCTGATTCATGGATGTTCATCTGAGCAAAATATGGATGGTTTGATGGTTTTGATGGTTTTGACACCCAAACAGGGAAAAGGATGGGGGATGAAATCAGCAAGAAGAGATGGATTTTGGATGGTCTTCATCAAACGCAACAAACGTGCTGGTTTGAAACCCAACAAGGGAAGTTCAATCAGTCTTGAATCAGCACAGGGAATACTGCCTTGCCGGAATTGCCGGTATTGCCAGTATTTGGGCATGTCAAAAAGTCGGGAAGTCCGAAATCTGCCATCGGCTTATTCTTAGGAATTGGTACAAATGTATAGCATGGTGCGGTGCTACAGTAGTATATAGAAAAAAAACGGAAGTATGATTTAGGGTCACTGGCCCAAATGTTGGTCGAAACGTTCCCCTCCCCCTAGTGCGATATACTGTACACAAAAAGGCATACCATATGCCCAGAGTGGAGCGTTCTGGCCCTATTGATAAATAGGGGGGCTCGACATTCGAGGCTCTTAATGTGATGGGGATGTCATACAATCATCATCAACCTCAATAAACCCAAGATTATATATGATATATGGAGGTTTCCTAAAATGGGGATACTCACAAATCGTCCAAAAATTCACAACTTGAGTATTGAAACCAATGGTTTTGGGGATCCCCCCATTTTGAGAAAGCCCATATACATCCATATACATTGTCTGCATCAACAACATAAATACGATGCCTATTGAAAAACATTTAAAAAAACAAAAAAACGATACCTTCTGGTATATTAACGTACCTGCTGCCCTGGATAGATACCAATTCCCATCCATGATGCTAAAAGCAATCTTTTTCAACGTGTTGGGGAGAATCACGACCCTGAACGGACCTTCACGTCCATGGGGAATAGCGAACGGATATTCACGTCCAGTTACGGAAATTCACGTCCATAAGATTATGCTCAAAAAACACAACAAAACATGTCCTTTTTGCTGTTTATGCTCATTTCCTGGAATCTTTTTTAGTCTCAAAAAACAACACCTGTATTCCACTCACCTTTTTGTGAATCCTTCTTCTGCACCAGTCTCCACCCCCACACTCTTCATCACGTTTTCTTCACCCTCAAGTGCGTGCCCAAGCAAGTTGGATATGGCACAGGTACCTTTCTAAGGTCCTTTTCGCTGCGAGTCTAGGAGATACGCAACGGGAGATCACTGCACATCGTCCAATGAAATCCTCGTCTTGACTACAAGAGTAGACGGCAGGATTAACACAGAAAGCAGCACTGCTCGCCTGCCTTCTCAACTCATGTGCCACTTCATGAATTGAATGCAGTTTGGGATGCATTGGAAAGAAATTGAGCCCCTTCTGGTAGGCAGCATAAGCTTGGTACATGAATGACTTGACAAAGTCATACAAAGCATCGCTCAATTGAATCCCTGTCGATGAGGGCATCAGAACATCATTGCTGTAGATTCCTCGCATGAACTGGTTCAGTCTTGTAGTCCCAAAAGCCTCAATGTGGAGCATGCACCATAATCTTAGAGTGGATTGGGGGGCAGGTTTCAAAACAAAAACACACATGGACATGCGTATATATGCACATACAAAACCTATATAGTCACATAAATGCAAAATGGAAGCCCAATTTCGTAGGGTCTCATCCGGTTGAATCAAGTCCGCATGTTGATTGCACCAATCTTCCAAAAACATAAAGAAATTGGATGTGACTGCCGCTTTGCTCCATGCACCAGATGGGTCCGTAGTGGTTCCAAAGGTCGCAACATCAATTCTTCGGATAATGGGGTCCAGTTTTTCCCTTCGGCAGTAGTCCCTGTAGTCTGATGCAATCTGAGTTATCCTCAAATCCACGTTGGATTGTGGAACCAGTTTTTGAAGTAACATGACTCCTCCAGAAATCCAAGTTTTGCCAACTCCAAGATGAATCGAATGCCACGGGTCAAGGCAATAAAAACGGCATTTCCCGTTAGGGGCATCATCAACCAAGAGTTCCCTCGTGAGTGGGGACTCACGATCCCATGGTAGAGGTAGTTCATGGAGATGGGATTCATCCATGGCACGCTCAGCCAAATTCCTGAGTGAAGAATTGTAATTAAAGGACCCATGGTGGTGCATGGTAAAGCCCCTATATGGAAAATATTGCCCATTACCATGTACAGTTTTCTTGTTGGGTAGGATGGGGTTCAACAGAAATCAACATATACTGCAGATAAACACTCTTCGAAAAATATATATTCCGGAGAACAAAACCAGTTAACATATATAGAGCAAATGTAAGAAGCAAATCCTCCCAGTCAATACCCTGCCCACAAAGACATAGGTGACATATTCCTGCACCAGCTACCCCGTGATCTTCTTCCTTGGCTCCCTTTGGGGCTCTTCGGTACGATCTTTCCAAATTTCCACTGGAAACCTTTGTTGCTAGAGAAACGGGCATTGAAACCAACAACCATAGAAAATTGAATGAAACATGATCCTTGGATGGGAATTGGATGGAACATGATGTCATTAGTAGAACAAAAACATATTGCGCTTGGATGGGAATTTGTTATTTTAAGATTATTAAACAGTTATATATCCAGGGCTATTATAATAACATGCATGGTTATTCAATCCTTCTTCCCCCAAACCAAAAGCGAATCCCATTTTCGTAAAAGACTTGAATTGCACACAAGGCAACAAGGTAGGACCAATCACCTTTGTTGCCCAACACGATGGGGTAGATCTTTGATCCATTCACCTCCACGCCGTCCCTCTCACACATGGCCAGATCCCGAACAACCATTTCAAAAATAGCATTCCATATTCTCCTGTCTTCAGCGTAGAGCTCCTGGGCAGGGCCATGGGGTTGACTATATCATACACCATCTATATGATTATTTGCCCACAAAAAGGAACATGCTTTATCATGAATAAACATTTATCATAGTAAAACTCGATGTGGGTGTGGAATATCACATTAATAACACAATTTTACGACCCAAGCACTCCTTCGGGCACACTGCTATCAAGATGCGGGTTTGGAACCCTGTGCGCAGAAAATTCAGTGGTATTCCTTCGCCAAACGCTCTAAGATTTTCACCAAGTTCAGCTGCGCGTTTGGAGGATCCAAACCCAAAAGCCCCTTGAAGACTCAAGACCAGTATTCCATTTTTTTGTAATGAACTCCCTCGTCTCCATGCAAGAATATTGGAAGACATTCCCAAGGTCGTTTCTTGTGAGCATCAAAGTCCCTGAAAAGCTGATGCATTGGAAATATTTCCCGATAGTGTTTCCAAAAGTTGACCAGAAGAGTGCGGGCTTCCACCAAAGACTTACCACCCAACAAATGGGTCAGATCATTCATTTTTCCCATTGACTGCAAGAACTTTGATGGTTTGATCCACGGAAAGGAGCTCAAAGGCGGGGTGTTCTCAAAAGAGATTTCCACCGGGTAGTAGAAGTTGTTCAAACGTAGGACTTCAGTGACCCCATCTTCCTCAGCTATGACCCATGGAATCACTAAACAATGTTTGGTGGACTATACCCAGATCCAAAATATTATACACAACATATATCCCTATATAGTTTCCCATTTAAACAATTTGGGATGTATACATTATATATCCATATTATATATCCCAAATTGTTTAAATGGGAAACAAAAAATCATGGTATCATTGATGTTCAGGGACCGATTTTTTCCTGTCCACTAACGCTAGGGCAGATAGGACAGGGCAAGGCATGGTTGAGTAGAACCCCTCGCCCACGTCTCGCATTTCAGCAGCTGCAAATTCGATGATATCACAGCACTTCTCCTCAGAACTGTGTGATGTGAAGCTGGTGAAAGGATCACTGATAAATTTCCTTGATTTGGGGAAACATACGAAATCCAACCAATGTGCATGCATGCACTACCTGGGTCATAGGAGACAACATGCAGTCAGTTCTCCAAAAAAAAACATTCCGCCATATATGCACATGTTATATCAAGTTTTGACACGTATCCTGCATATGGTCGAACCAGCCAAGCTGCGCCACGGCCATACTTCCATGCGAGTTGTCGCGATTTGTGTGAAGGGCCTGGCATTCTGGAGCATCATTTGTAAACATATATATATATTGAACTAAGGGGTGAGTTCCTGCTTCAATATAAGTAAGGCATCCAAAGACACAAGGCCAAAAACACGGTTTCACCAGCACAAACACATATAAGCTTTTCATCCATGAATCGCATTTGAAGCAGTCATGGTTCTCGCTTGGCAACTGTCTAGAACCCATCATAACTGGATTTGCGGTGGTAAGCCACCGCCTCACGACAACCCCCAAATCAATGCTATATTGACATGGGTATACACGCATGTGGTTCTCCACATGGCTGAACCCCCAAAGCAAAGAGCACCCGCAAATGGTGGACCCAAGGTGCTGCAAGTGAATAAGTAAATGGTTTGGTTGAAACTTGTTTGGTTATCTTAACTGAAAATAATTCCATCAACCTTCAGATCCAGCATTGCTGCTCAGGCCCCACGAAGCTTCCTGCTCTTCTTGGCAGGAGCGGGGATGGGCTCAGAATTAAGTTCCGGTGCGGCAGCAGAGGCTGACTGCTTACGGCGGGATTTCTCCTTCTTTGAAGGCTTACCCTTGCTGCCCTTGCTCTTTCCAGCTGCCTTGGAAGCCTTTGCTCCCTCGGCTTTAGTCTTGGATCCATTCCCTTTGCTCTTCGACTTGTTGCCCTTGGCTTTGTTGCTGTTCACCTCCAAGCCCAAGTCTTTGGCCAGGGTCCTGCAACAGATTGTGGTGTATATATCATATATTATATATAAGGGGCCCAAGCAAAGCACATTGATTCACGGATACCACCAAAGTAAAAACACTCAACAATGGGTCACAAGAGGTATTCCTGTAGCGGGCTTCCAACGGGATAGCGGCACTGCACCTTGGATCATCGGATAATGATAGTTACGGAGACCCCATATTATATATATAAACAACATGGGCATCCAGAAAGCACTGTCATCATTATATATATATATAAGGTAAGTCACTGTTTCTTCACTTCGTTCTTCTCGTTTGCAATCTCAGACAACAGCCTTGGAGACAACAAAAAAAACAACATTAAACATGAGCCTTTTGTTTTCTATACGAAATTGCGTGAGCCAACCTGGCGGTTTCTGGAACGACCAGTGACCACATAGACCAAAAAGGGTCCAGGCTCGTTCGAGCAAGTAGACCCCCCTCCGTCCCGCACATTGCGGCATCCTTTCACTCCTGAGCAACATGCCGATCAGGTATATATATATATATAATAAATGACATGACGTACCGTGCATGGAAACATGACAAATCATTAAATTCTTCTGTTATATTATAAGATTCCTTATTTGAAATGTTGGATATGACCTCCCACTAAAACCATGTATGTTGGCGGGGTACATCATATAGAATTGCATTAAAACTGCAGAGAAGCTGTTGGAAGCCCAAAAGCCTTGCATATTCAAGTTCTGTTTCAAACATTGTGCCTCATATCGATGGAATAATATTTAATTTGAGTATCAATGGGATGTGGCCAAGAGAACCTGAATTAATCCAAGTTGTCCCATCCCCCAATTTGCTGAAAGCAAGACCGTGTCCTCTCCAGTGAAAGGGTTATGGGGTCCAGGACATCTTTCCAGCATTGCCGATCGATGTTGGAGGACTGCATCGGGCATGGGATGGATTGAAAGTTTATTCGGGGAAAATTTGATCGAAGGATCCTTCTTTCAAGGAAAAGGAAAGATCGAAACATCCCCACCTGTTTTAACATGTTTTAACCTGGGTAACTTTTGGGTCTTCTTTTATAGGCCTGACCAAAGCAATCAGGAAGCAGCAAAATTGCTATTATATAGATATACCCAAACATGTTGTGCCTGCATATCAGAAGTTCTTGTAGCCGTTCTTCCGCATCATCACCATTGGCACCGACTATACCCGACCAAGAAAGAAGCACGGGATGGACCCATGGGCCACACACAACCCCCCAGTGTGGCTTTTCTTAATCCCAAAGTGCAAGCATGACTGTGTGTGGATTTTCATCATTCAAACATTTTAGATTTCAACGATACAACATCTGAAACTAATAAACAGTGTGACCAAAGTTTTTGAAGTGAACTAGATGCAGAAAAGCAACGTAGTCAACCTTTCACTGGGCAAAGTACCATCCTTATGATCCAACTTCAACTCAGTGAGGAATGTCCCAAACTGTGCAAAGCTCGTTTCCATCTTCTTGGCCAAGGGATCCAGGGAAGTTGCCAGCCTAAGATAGATCGACTCCGTATTTCTATAATTAGGGGTTCGATGGATGACCCGAGGCATGGTTGCACACATGTATAGCCAATATATTTAATAACCAAAAAACGCATCAGAGGCTTCATGCTTTGATGCACGTAGGCTTGCAACCATCTTCTCAACTGACTGTTGCTTTTTCTCCAGGGTGGTCATGTAGGCTTCCAAATCGGCGACAGGCTGGCCAGGGTATATGCATGTGCAGAGACCCATTGGGAGATCAAAATCAACATCACATGTGGTGTTTATATTATTTAACCATGCACAGTTTGATTCCATGATGGTGCACAACTTAATCCAAGTCCCTGTCCTTGGAACCCACCACCTCTGGAGACGGTTCAACCTTGGGGAGATTCACTGGGTTGGATGGCAAGCCAGCAGGAGCATCCTTCAACTTCTTGTCCTGGGATGCAGGCGTCTTGGGCGCAGAGGTATATGGTTTGAATGGAGATAAAAGATGGGGTGACCTCAAGAATGACATGGTCAAAACGATCATGATATATTATATATAAATTTATTGGTATATATCAACACCTGATTTGGTATATGATACCAAGATTCACCCAGATCAGTTTCGTCCACTTGACGTGTGGTGTCCGAATGCTTCTCCCTCGTGTTGTCATCAGTGATGACATAAAATTCCGTCACCGATGAATTGTAGCGCCAATTCCTCCAAGGCTTCAAGGGTATAGTGGTAAATAATTTCATGGGCTATATACGATTGATTCACCATAAGACCAATGAGGATTGTTTGACATATAATCAAACCTGATCTTATATATAATAATATTATATATATATCATTTTTCAACATTGATGTCCTGCACAACGACTCCGGGAACTGCCGGCAGTAATTGGTGATGCTCTTGATGCTCTGGGCCGAATAATTGCCAGAGCGTTTCATGGCATCTTCAGTCAACCACTTACCCAACGTTTCCGTTTCACGGGAATCAAGTCGCTCCCGGATCAAACGACATTTTTGGATGAAGTCTCCCTGCAGGGTAAATAGATTCGAATTGCATGGTTTTGAAAATGGCATAAAATGGCCATGCATGTTCCATAAAAAAACATAGAAGTTTGTCATGCCTTAATCCTCTTGTAAGAACTCCTGGCAACACCATACTTCGCGATGGACTCTAAAAGAGCCATCTCGAGCAGTTCTCTGTTCTCACCCCCCTGCTTGTACTGGGTACGGACATCGTCATCCACCAGGGTCTTGCCACTGGGTTTGACCTCGCACAAGCGCCTCGTGCGCATTCGAAGCGCATCAGGAGAGATCTCGACCTTGGATCGATCAAGAATGCAGGCCAGGAATGATGGGTATATGGTGCATGGGATCTATATATATAAAATAATGAAGTCAATCTATATATAATTGGTGTTAATATATTTTTATTTGAGGTGGATGTTTGTTGATTGTGCATGTTATTTAGATTGCTTTTTCAAAAGGCATCAAAGGGACTCTCTGACCATTTGGAGTGACAATGTGGTTGGGCTGATCTTCAGACTCCGAAGGGCTTGAATCAGCATGCTCATCATCATCGTCATCAGAAGGGGCAGCCGTTCTGGGAGTTCCATCACCAGTGTTCACCCTTCCCTGCTTCGGTTTATCCATGCCAGTTTTCACGGCAGATTCCAACTCACCAACACGGTTCAGAGTTTGGGCGAGTAAGGTTTCCATTCGTGAGGTATTATCCCGCTCCTTTATTTCCCTGGCTTTGGCTTCCAACTCCAAAACCTGAATCTTCGCTACCAACTGCGCATTGGTTTTTTGTTCAAGTTCCAAGAGCTTCTTGTTCTGAATGGCCTGCACAATGCAGAAATGAGGGCTATATATCGATATGAGTAAGATGGGGAGAACAAACATCAGACATCTCAAACTTCTCAAAACCCAACATGCCTCAGAGTCTAGCTTGTGAAAAGATGCTGGAGGTTCTGGTCTGGAACCACGAAACGAAGAAGCAGGAGATTCCAAAGCCTAGGAAATTATCAATCAAGTAACCTCCGCTATAAATCTGCATGATCACACTCCTTCAAAACCAAAAAGTAACAGTGAGAAACATGTTTTTTAAATATACATCCGGGAAGCTGCAGGAATCGTATCAGCCGTGGGTGATGCAACTTCTGCTTGGTTTCGATGAATCTCCTTACTTGGCATGAAGATCCAAGCAGTCTAATTATATATACAATGCAGTCGAATTTCATATCATATATCTACCGCCAACTTCGTTCTTAGATAGGGGTGAAATACAGTCCATGTGGCCCATGCAGTCTTACAGGGGTCGGCAAGCCACATTTTAAAATACCCATGCATTCCGTTCCAAGATGCAGCAACTTGTCCAGTCTGCCCCGTCTTCGCTGAAGGCGGCTCTACCAGCTCCTTCTTCACTGCCAACACCGGCGCGCACGGTGCCTCAGATAGATTCCGCTGGGATCGATTGTGTGGTCAAGAATAGACATGATGGAATGGATGCTTCCCAAATACAATTTTGTATTGGTATCAATAAAAGCAGTTGCTATTTAACACCAAATATATGAGATTATATTATTTATATCCAGCATGTTTCCCCTTGACATTACAGTCAAGACGCATCCTTTCGTTTCTGGGCGGACTGCACAAGAAGCTGAGTCACCTTCCAAAAGCGTTGCACTTTATACTTGGGTTTTCAACTAAGATGGGGGCTGGATCAAACATGCACAACTTTGGTCTTTTAAACTTTGCTTGTGTTATAAGCTGATGTATATCTCCCATGCATGAGTTTGTTTGTATAAAACCATAACCCCATAGAAATCCCATGAGCGGCAGCGCTACCCCTGCCTGCTTGAAATCCTGGGGGTTCAAGGACAGGCCAGCTTTTTGGGCTGCCATTTCCACACCTTCCTCCAAGGTTTGACAACTCCAACCCTGGCTAGGCAACGAAGTCACCATCGAATCCCGGGACATAACTGAAATCCTGGCCGGTTACACCCAGATCTGATCCTCCCAAATGGCTCAGATCAACGGATGTTTGTAGAATTCAACTCACAAATTTCCAAATGCTTGATCCTGATCAAACAATAACGACCTTTTTGTATGGTTTCCATTTTTCTCTCAGTCGACATGGGTCAAACCACGTCATTCCATGCAGGAAACTCCATAAATGTAAGCGCAACACCCCAATTTAGAAGAGTCTGGAACGGATTCCCCAGAAATTGAATGTGGACATCGGATTTTATTAAAAAAATAGATGGCTTAAAAAAAACAAAAAAAAACTGATTTTTTTACGTAATATTTACGTAATTTTTGCGCAACTTGAACGTAATTGAACGTAATTTGAACGTAATTTGAACGTAATTTGAACGTAATCCGAACGCTTTACGCATATTCACGTCCCCAGAATGGTTATTCACGTCCATGTACGGATTTCAAAAAATACGAAAAAAATGGTTTAAGCCAATTCTTTGTGGTTTTCATGTTTTCTATGGCCGGGAATTGGAAATCTTGGAAAAAATCTTCAAAGTTAAGTTGCCAAACGAATCGAAATCTCACAAATTGGAGTGTTCACATGCGCCATCATGAGCCAGTTGGCTTGAAACTAGTCCTGACCCCGTTGGGCAAGCCGTTGCTGTTCCAACTTATGGAGGACCTCAAATGGAGATGGAAATACCTCTAACCATTCTTTTGGAATATTCAAATATTTGTTCCCTCTCGCATATTTGAGCGCTGGGACCAGTCTTGCTTCTTCCCAGGTGCTGAAAGGAAGATTCTGAAACAATTGGTACGGGCATTGGGTCTCATCTACTTCCACTTTCTCACTCACCCCAACCAGATCAGGTAGTAGATCTCGAAGATGGTCAGCAAAGCCTTGAGGGTAAGTCCTTAGAGTAAAGCCATCAAGGGTAAAATGTTGACCACGGGGGCAAATGCACAATTTGAAATAAACATAAAATTGAAATGGACATTGAAAATCACACCAAATGAGGTCGGGGCTGTGTGGCTTTCAGGGCTGGGGTTCCAGTGTAGCATGGTTTTCCAGTCCTCTTTGAAATGGTTTTCTTGACGGTAATAGCCTTGGGTTTTGGCCCATCACCCCTTTTCCATGTCCCCAGATCCAACCTCTGAAAGTAGGAGTTGTTTGTCCATCCCCTCTCAGGTTTTTGGCTGTCGTGGCCATAATGGCCCATATGCCATCGGATATGGAAAACCTTGGATGGCAATGTTGGGAAACCCATGGGTCGATGATCAAGAGGCTGTGGAGAGCCGTAGAATCCCCAAATGTTGTCAATGTCGATATTCATATATAAGGGAAATGGATTCGTTGTTTCTTTTTCATTATTTTTCAGTTGCATTTGAAACCATGCAGTTTTGGACTCATGAAAAATGCACTGTAGAGACAGCAACAAATCAGATTCCATGCAATTGATTGAAAAAGGGGACAGTGAAGCCATGTCACTTTCATGACTCTGCAGAGAAATTCCATTCGATGGAAGTGGCCCATCACACTGGACCGAGGTTGTTCTAACAGAAACGACCCCCCACATGCTTGCACCAGTCCAAGTAGAAGAACACACCTCATTTCATGCAGGCCCTGATTTTTAATAAACATAAAACCGTTATAGGGGAACTTCATCATCAAAAACATTGTAACAACAATTAAATAATGTGTTCATGATTTGGGATTGAATGGAACAACCATACATGGAAAATATGGGGACAGCTTCATATAAAAAGCAAAGTGAAGGAGCCGACTCATCATGCAATTTGCTTCCACAATGTATTGTTTATTGCAATCCCCTTCTGGGAGAAGCAACGAACGGCAGCTGGTAAAGCAATTGATTCGCACCCATGATGAACAGACCACTGCCCATAGTGAAGCGAACTCGTCCATTTTACACGACAGTATGAGGTGGATGGATAGCCTCAGTTTATCTGAGCTTCATATTTTACCATGGGTGATCCTCAGAATGTGGATTTCATATAATTTGACTGCTGACAATGGTTTGTTCCCCAAAAAATAATTGCAAACATTTGCGTATATAGAACCATGGGACAAAATGCCCGCATTTGTCAGCACATCCATGGGATTCTGCCCACCCCCTGTGTGCTCCACGTATCGAATATCGACTCCGATAGCTGAGACAGAATCTGCTCGCATAGTCCTCCAAGTGTTGCCTGTCCCGGCGAAGTGCTCCAGGAACACCAGCTCCTGCAGCATCAATTATGGCTGGGGACCCTGGTGCTGGGCTGCGATTCTATGTACATATAGTGCTGATATATATATATATATAATCACCATAATAACTTTTTTTGGATAAATAACACATATATATGTTAACTATATATATCGGATTGCATGTGTTTATTTTGTCATTCTCCAACCCACTGCGGGTCCTCCGAAAAGCGAGGCAAATTGTCCGAGAAAGCAACGAGCAATGTCATGTAGATAAAGGCCTCGGGCAATATGATGTGGGCGGCTTCTAATCAACAAAATTATATAATGATTGGATCTTGGATCAAATTGTGAAAATGCCATGGGCTTTGTTCGCAGGGTTGTGCAAGAAACATGAAAACATGTGAAACAAATGTCCTTCATCCAAGTAGCTTTAGGGAGTTTCAGAGAAATCATCCTCTGAACAACCAGCCCGATCCTCTCCCGTCCAGTCACCATGGCAGCGATGGAACGGTCCCTATATGCCTTGTAAGGGAATCCCCACATATCCCCGCATGCTTGTTTGCCAATAGTTTCCTCATGCAAATCATGATGTTGATTGTTTGCAATGCCATGTGTTTTTTGGTTTTTGAAATACACACCTGCGATGTAACGATCGTAATGGCCACATGTCGCAGGAAATGGGAGGGGTTGATGCACAAAACTCTGCAAAACGAAGTGTGTTCATTCCATGTCATTGGCCCTATGTCCCGTGAGCATGCATAACAAAAAAACCATCATCCTAATATTGTTGATCCAAATAGCCTTCCGTTTCAGGAACCTAATTATTATTCCATTTTTGTCATTTTTATTTTTATATAATGTTCTTTTGCCACCTCCAAAAGCGAGCCACCGGCACCTCTGAAAAACCTGGGGTTTGCCCCATACTTCACTCCATTGCCGCTGCCCTTGTGGATCTTTCTCACCTTTCGTCTAGGCATTCACGTGGACCAAGACCACCTGGCATGCAGCGAGCCCCAGATGGCAGGATTTTTGTTGGTATAAGGGGTTTACATGGAGGACCACCTACATAAATAATATATACAATAACCATATTATATATATTCC